CGCATAATAGAGGGGTTACCAACAGACCTCATAGTTCAGGGGCCGACTGTCAATGCAGCTCATAAGGGGTTACCACACCGGTTCAGGTGGCACTGGACAAGCACCTAAAGTCGGTACCTGACCAGCCGGGCTGTGGCTCGTATGTTGGTTTGCGTGCAGCCAGCAGTAACAGCCTGGTTGATCAGGCTCTGATCCACCAGGAGGCCTGGTCACAGACCGGGCCGTGGGGGCGTTGACCCCCAGAACTCTCTCCAGGTAAACTCCAGGTAAACTCCAGTTCACCCTAACAAAATGACAAACACTGGCAGGCAGCATAGAGACAGCAATGAACCCATTCTAAAACCTGCAGCTGTGATTGATTACACCCTCAATATGCGCTCAGTGGACAAATGTGACATACAGATTGGGTTTGCTGATTGTGTTCGCAAGAGTTATAAGTGGTACATCAAACTCTTTTTCCATCTTCTGGACATTTCCATGCTCAATGCTTATAATATGTATAAGATGAGGACCAGAAACAAACTACCATATGGTGAATTTTGTTTGTCTGTCATCAGACAAATAGTATTCAAGTATCAAGGAACAACACCTGCAATAGACCACCCACTAAATTATCAACAACTGCCTTCTCGTCTGAAGCATGGTGATCACTTCTTAGTAAAACTGCCTGCTATTGATTTCAAGAAAAAGGCTCAGAAGAGGTGTTACGTCTGTGCACATACAAAAAAAAAAACGCCCACAACACCTTAGAGACACTTGTTTTATGTATGAGGAGTGTAAAACACCACAGTGCATGACACCATGTTTCAAAGACTTCCACAGGCTGCAGAACTTCTAGAAACATTCCCCGTGACTGTATATGTGTATATAAAATATAGAAAAATAGTAATAAACAACATTTCATAGCGTTTGTTTGTGTAAATATTTTCTGTAAACAAAACAGTGACAAAACAGTGTTTATGCAGTTATTGTGTAGTATAGAAAAAGAAATAACTTACAAAATAGTGATCATATTGGTCTCACCAGCCATAAAAGTTACTTGGAAAAAAAATATTAAAAAATAATAGAAAATAGTACCTAAAAAAATAAATAAAGTAGTAATACCGGGTGACCGGCAGTCGGCAATGTTACCATATACCGGGCATTTTCTGTCAACTTCATGCCTCCATATCTCGGTAAGTATTGACAGTAAAAATTTTTTGTTTAGCCTATAAGATTTAAAAAAAAAAACTCTATCTTTTCATAAAATTTTTTTTTTTTTTTTAAATTTTGGCGACCCTGAGAACAAGTCTCTGAGAGGGCTTGGTGACCCTGAAAGGGTTAAGTGAACATTAGAGCTAGTCCTTAACGCATATGCAGTACACACATTACGTACTTTAACCCCTTCAGGGTCCAAGGCCAAAATCTGAAGTGGTGCTCCAGTGTCCAAGAAATTTAAAAAAAAAAAAAATATTTTATCTTACAGAATTAAAGAGTATATTTTTGTGAAGGTAATAAGAGAAAAAAAAAATTTCTGATCAGTACTTACCGAGATACAGCGGCGGGAAGTTGACCCAAAATGACCGGGTGGTGGCAACATCATGACTTCCGCAAAATCCCATTTTTTTATTTTACGTTTTTTATATTTTTTCTTTTCTTTTCTAATTTTTTCTTTTTCTAATAACATTTGTGGCCTGTGAGACCAGTATAATGTATATTGTGTAAGTGTACACTCATTGTATTCAACACAATAACTGCACTAATTTGCTTATCATTATATTGCTTACAAAACTTGTTTACAAGTTTATTGTAAACAAAATGAAAATATTAGTGCGGTTATTGTGTTGAATACAATGGTACCATTTAGTACCATATGGTACAATGGTGCTATAGGGTGCAATGGTACCATATGGTACAATGACACCATATGATACAATGGTACCATATGGTACAATATGGTGCAATGGCACATGATACAATGGTACCATATGATACAATGGTACCATATGGTACAATGGCACCATTTGGTACAATGGTACCATATGATACAATGGTACCATATGGTGCAATGGTACCATATGATGCAATGGTACCATATGGTACATTGTACCATACAGTACAATGATACCATATGGTTCTTTGTACCATATGGTACTGTTGTATTCAACACAATAAACACACTAATATTTTCATTATTTTGTTTACAATAGTTTACAACAAAAATATGCAAAAATGTTATATATTAGTAATGTTCTATTATATATTTACAAGTGTACAGGAACTTGACGTGTTCCTTGAGGTGGATGACAAAGCACTTCGTCTCGGAAACTGGAGAGTCAGTAGCTAGCTTGTGTCACCACTCACTCAGTCTTGGCTGGTGTCTCATGCCACCAACACCTATTTACCATATGGTACACAGTATCATATGTTACAGGGTACCATATGGTACATTGTACTATATGGTATAGGGTACCATGCAGTACAGGATAACATATGATGCAGGATAACATATGATGCAGGGTACCATATGGTGCAGGGTACCATATGGCACAGGGTACCATATGGCACAGGGTACCATATGGTACAGAGTACCATACAGTACAGGACACCATATGGTACAGATACAGGGATAACTATGGAAATAAGTCACCCTGACTTTTTTGGGTTATCCTTGGATTTTATACGTATGCTGCTATGTATGATAATCTATGTAATTGTATTTCTGTACACCTGAATAAACTTACTCAAGTGCATGTGACATCATAAGTAAGTTTATTTAGTTATACACAAATAAAGTTACATAGAATATCATACTTAGCAGCATATGTTTGGAGAACCTAGGATAACCCAAAAAAGTCAGACAGACTTATTTCCATTAGGGTCCCTGTACCCTGTACCATATGGTATAATGTATCATATAGTACAATGTACTATATGGTACATTGTACCGTATGGTATCATTGTACCATATGATACCATTGTACCATATACCATTGTATGACATGGCACCATTACACCATATGGTACCATTGTACCATATGGCACAATGGTACCATATGGTTCAAAACCATAGAATTCGTCTTCATCTCCACTTCCATCAGTCTTAGAACTGTAAGTTGTGAAGAGGAGAGTCAGAATTCACCCAGAGAGTGAGTGGGGAGTGAGAGCTTCCTTGCCGCCAGGCACAATGAACAAAGCTACTTTGCTGGCATTCCCACAATGCCATGCGGGCGTCCAGATTTTTTCTATGGTGTGCACACTGACTACCCAGACCCATTCTCTCAGATGTAGGCCTACCAGCCTTCTTGCGCTAAATTTGACACCGCTAGAATTTTGGCGTAGATCTACGGTTTGGACCCTGAACGTAAAGCCGTAGATCTACAGGACGGACCCTGAAAGGGTTAAAATATTTTCATCCTTAGCTTCTAGTGAGTAGTGAATATATTTATTGTAGGAAGTCTGAATAAATAAATAAATAAATATAGTTGAAAACTGCTGCATTAGCGAAATGCTGTAAAGTGAAACATTGTAAAGTGGGGCCCTCCTATACAATTCTGCTGATCAGGATTCCTAACATTTACATCATGTAAAGTGACAACATATCTACTCATTCATTATGGTTGATCTTCAGAATTTATGAGGTTCTTAGTTCACAGGATACTATTGTCTTAACATTTTTTTACTGAGGGGCAATCCACTTATATATGTACATGTATGTATATATATGTATGTAGCCAGACTATGGGAAACAAAAGAGAGGAGTGTTATGTTGTTGTCCCTTATACTTTGATAGTAAGGTTCTAGTGTGGGGTAGCTTTTACATAAAGGCCTTGTCAGTCTAGGGTAATACATTTATTTATTTATTTATTTATTTTATGTCTTTGCAAACAGTACATTGAGATTTTGTATTTACAATAATGGGTTACAATGCAAAGAGAGCCTCTATTATGCCTAGACATTATGGGCCAACTTAACATTATTGGCTTACAGACTACTTAATTAACACTAAGGATTATATCATAGTTGCACAGTAGGATAGTAATTATTTCATAGTCGAACAGTTTATTATTAATTATAAGTGAATCAAAATTTGTATAAGACAAAAGATAAATTCATCTATTCAAAAATGTTTTTTGTGAAAACAGTGATTCAATTATATTCCTGTCAACAATGGATAAAAGGTTCAAAGTGATTGTTGAAGTTACGATGTGGGAGAACATAAGTGAGGATGTGTGTGCCGAGTGTTAGCGTTTAGTCTAGGGTGATTAAGTGGCTTTTGAGAAGAATCCTAAATTGATTTTCAGACTGGGTTACTTTAATATCTTCTGGTAATGAATTCCATATTTTGGGCCCTTTATGTGCATAGAGTTTTTACACAGTGTGATATGGACACGAGGTATATCAAAAAGAGATCTGTGTCTTGTGTTGTGGTCATGTGTCCTTTTTAGGTTGGAGAGGAGAAGTTTGAGTGGAGGGTTTGTATTTGCATGTATTGTTCTGTGTGAGTAGTAGGCACATGAATAAGTATGGATGTTCTTAATGGTGAGCAGATTCAGACTTTTGAAAATTGGTGGAGTATGCTGGTGGGAGTGGGAATTTGCTATCATTCTTACTGCTGCCTTTTGCTGGGTATATTAGGGGTTTTAGGTGATTGGATGTTGTTGATCCCCATGCACAAATTCCATATGTAAGATAAGGGTATATGAGTGAATGGTACAGTGTCAGGAGAGTTGATTGTGGAACGAAGTACCTTATCTTTGATAGTATGCCTACAGTCTTGGAGATTTTCTTGGTGATTTGTTGTATGTGTGTCTGGAACTTAAAGCTACTGTCAAGGTGGATACCTAGGAATTTTCCCTCTGTGAGTCTTGTGACTGATGATCCGTTTAGCGTTATGTTAATTGGATCATTTGCAGCTTTGTTACCAAACTGAATGAAATAGGTTTTATCAGTATTCAGGGTAAGTTTATAAGTGAAACAAATGAAATTGGTTAGTTCCTTAGTTAAAATGTATATTTTATATCTTGCAGAAAACTATGTCAGAAACATCAGGATATTCACCTAGACAGATGTGTCATCCTGAAAGAAAGAAAATTTTTGGTAAGTCAAGAGGTAGCATCTGTCTGTTTTTAATTTCCTATATTTAATTGGTTGGATTACCAGTGCTGTAAGTACATAGAATATTTCATCCTACACATTTTTATCTAGAATCTTATACTGTTGTACCACAAGTCAGTCATCACAAATCCGGCAATCAGCTATCCAGTTCCATCATTTATGCGGCACTAATTTCTGCTAGCATAATTTCAAATTTCCAGGGTCTCCACACCAACCTGCTGCTCCTGTTTGGTGGTGCTACTTGCTGCATAAGTCATTCCAACTTCTTTTTCTCCATTTATTGTTATAACCTGCTTACATTTAGCCCTAGCCATTGTTCCAGTGAATAAAAGAAATACTTCTCATTGTGTAAAGCACATACACAGTACATTGTCCATAAAAGATAAGATGGCTTTGAAGCCACTGTCGGTTGCCTTGAACTCAGTCTCGTGATGCAGTGGAATATGCTTTATTATTATGCTAATATCAACACTACGGCATATTTACCTATCACAATTGATCTAATATGGCATAAAAAACAATATAAATAACATAAAAGCATGGTAAATACTCCAGAATGAATAATATTTCGCATATACACCCAACTTCCTTCTCTTAGCTGGAGACTTCAATATCAACCTTGGCCTACTAGATGATCAGCCTGTAACTGATTTCATCAACAATATGAACAATACACTTCTCATACCAACAATAACTAAACCAACCAGGCTCACTGAGACAAGTGCAACCATAATAGACCACATATGGACTAATATACTAGCCCCCCTTAAATCAGGGATAATCACAGACAGCACTACAGACCACTACCCTACCTTCCTCTTAACAAACAGTAAACCACCACTGGAATACAACAAAGTTTCATTTAGACTCCATGATGAGGCCTCAATAAGGAAGTTCACAGCAGACCTAGAGACTGTTGACTGGCCTCCAGAATTCTCCAAGGCCAATGGTATTGACGATTGGACAGACATTTTTCTTAACAAATTACGTACATTGTCCTATAAAAACGAAACAGATCACGAATAAACGGCTCGGTTGCCCATGGCTAAACAGCAGCATTCTGAAATCCATTGATAAGAAACACCAATATGAAAAGCAATACAGACAAGGCTTAATACACAAAGATATTCTTAAACACTATTCATCAGTTCTCACCAAAGTAATAAAGAAAGCCAAACAACTGTACTACTCCAGCAGATTCACTGACACAAGAGGAGATATAAAAAAGACCTGGAAAACACTCTCCTAGATTCTGGGCACCCACAAACTGAAAAAAAAAACAAGAATATTGTCCTAACTAAACCTAATGAAACACCACTGCATCCCACTGATATAGCTAACAAGATAAACAACTTCTTTTCAACCATAGGATCTAATCTTGCCAGTAAAATCCCACATACCAGCGCCCATGCCGGGGACTACCTAGATGGGAATTTCCCAAATTCCTTCTATCTTGTACCAACTGAGCCCACTGAAGTCACCGAGATTATAAAGTCACTTAAAAGTAACTCAGGGAATCTGTCTCATGTCCCACCATTATTGTACAAGCGAGCGGCCCATGTCCTTTCGCATGCTATTTCATTACTTTTTAACAAGTCACTAGAAACTAGCACCTTCCCGAAACTACTCAAGACACCAAGGGTTACACCAATACATAAAGGTGGTGACCCTACAGATGTAAACAACTATAGGCCAATACCAAACTTACCATTGCTATCCAAAACCTTCGAGAAACTCGTACACAGGAGACTGTATTAATTTATAATGGCACAAAACATAGTCAACCCCTGTCAACTTTGATTCAGGAAAAATAAAAGCACTAATGATGCAATTGTAAAAATGCTAGATCTGCTTTACACAGCATTGGAAAATAAGGAATATCTGCTAGGAATTTTTATTGATCTAAGAAAAGCTTTTGACACAGTAGACCACGGCATCCTACTCCACAAACTTGACCATTATGGTATAAGAGGCTATGTGCTTGCATATTTCAAATCCTACCTTACTAATAGGTATCAGTATGTCACCATTAAAGACACAGCATCATCAACACAGCCACTTGATACTGGAGTTCCGCAGGGAAGTGTCCTTGGACCCCTCCTCTTCCTCATTTACATCAATGATCTTCCAAACGTATCCCAACACCTGAAACCCATTTTCTTTGGTGACGACATGACTTATGTCATCTTCCACCCTAATCTTGCCACCCTCAACACCATTGTTAATGAGGAGCCGCTCAAAATATCGACTTGGATGACAGCCAATAAACTTACACTTAACACTGACAAAACCTACTATATTATGTTTGGTAGCAGAGCAGGTGTTGCGCAACTTAACATTAAGATCGACAACACTCTAATTGCCAGACATAATGAGGGCAAATTCCTAGGCCTATACCTCGACAACAACCTGAATTTCAGCACCCATATCCAACACATAACAAAAAAAAGTATCCAAAACAGTTGGGATCCTCTCCAAGATACGATACTACGTGCCACAAAATACCCTTCTCATACTATACCATTCACTCATTTATCCATACCTCACCTATGCTATTTGTGCTTGGGGATCAACTGCAGCAACACACCTAAAGCCAATAACAATCCAGCAAAAAGCCGCAGTAAGAATAATCACTAAATCCCATCCCTGGCAACACAACCCCCCCCACTCTTCGTAGATCTAAACTCACTCCCTGCTCAAAACATCCACTCTTACTGCTGTGCAATCTATATCTACAGGACCTTAAATTCCAATATTAACCTTGACCTAAAATGCTTTCTTGATAGTTGTGACAGGACCACAGGCATACACCAGACACAAACATCTCTACGACATTCCCCGTGTCTGACTAAACCTTTACAAAAATTCAATGTATGTCAAAGGCCCTAAAATCTGGAACACCCTACCTGAAAACTCTAGAACTGCAGACACATTCATCACCTTCAACACTACCGTTAGAAAACATCTTATCTCCCTGATACACCCCGTCAACTAACTACACGAAAACCACCTGGTGGTTCACACTTACACTCACTCACTCACCCATTTGACTATAAGCACAGAAATACGAATCTTAATCTTAAAATAATGATTCCTAACTAGTCATAAGTTTGCCTGTGATACTCCAATATAGAAACTATGTATTGTGCCAAAACAAAAGCATTCACATTGCTAAACTCACAAACTAGTACATTTAGTCACTTAGTATTTAGTCAGCTTACTTCATTATTTGTAATAATTTAGGTGGGATCATGGCAATTTCGGCCAACTTTTTTATTTTTCAACCGATTTTTTTTATTTTTGATGTACGTTTAGAGGTGCACATGTAGAAGAATGTGACAAAGTTTCAGTATGATTGGCCAACAAACAACAGAGAAAAAAAATATTTAATGACTTTTCATATATGGCAGCATGACATGATAAATTGGCACTATGAGTGGCACTTCCGACAATCCCAACTGTTAGAATACGTCTACACGACTTTTGGATGCACTTCTTACATCTAATATGTCTTATTATCATGGTAAAAGAAAATACATTTGATAGACTTTTTGGCATTCACCAAAATATCTGCCTTTTACCTCCCACAAAATAAAAAATATTTGATATATTCCAAAAAAAGAAGCACCAACTAGTCAAACACACTTTGTTTTATATTGTCTGTGAAAATCATTTCAATACAATCATTAATAATGGTGTAGTACAGCGAAATAAGTGAAAAAGTTACTTCCGAGATATAAGCCTGGAACGCCGGCCGGCCCGCCGTCTCAAATTTTTTTTTTTTTTTTGCGAAAATCGCGTTTGTTTCAGTGGTTTTCTAAGTAAACTGATGTTCTAGTGCAGTTATCCTCTTCAAAACACCGTTTTCTATCACTCAGACCAAACAATACAACATGGAGACGAGGAGTAACTCATTTATATCGAAATATTCCTGGTGGACTCTCGCCATATTATGGCCTATTTTATTCAGTCTAGAGTATATAACATGTTTGTATGTTATTTATAGTGTTTATTATATCATATTAGATCAATTCTGATAGATAAATAAGCCATAGAGTTGATATATAAGCTTATATAAGCGTAATAATTCTTGATTTCACCTTGCACTCTCTGGAGCGGAAATACTGCCGAGTGTTCCCAGGTGCTTCCTGATTGGCTGGCACTCTACTGATAAGCTCCACCTACTCTTATATGATGCCAAATAATCAATTATTATATTAGAAAGAATAATGCAAGAAAAGCAATAAAAAACAAGGAAAAAATTCCAAAAAATATATGGGCTGTGAGCAGACGCGCTACCCACATCGCCGTCACCATACCTGATATAAATGACTATAATTTCTTGTAGAAACGTTGTAGAACATTGATTCTTGCACCATTGTGTTGCCAAAGAGTTAAGCTATTTTTCTTTATGAATAACTCAATTTCCATAATTTTTCGATTTTTTCTTGAGAGCGCTGAGCAGCAACCTTGGCGCCTTCGTTAAGGGTTAAAAATTAATCTAAGTTTGCCCAAAATGCCTAACCATGCTAGGTGTCCTAGTGGCTCCCTCTGTAATTAGTATTTTATTACATGTAAACCACACAATAACCAAAATCTGTAAACCCCGCATTGTAATCCTTATAGGAATAAACCTGATTGATTGATTGATTGGGCTATTATATATTCCTCTGTACAACCATGTAATTTGTCAAAATATGTAAACATTTTTATCTTTATCTTTATCTGATACCAAGCAGTTCTATGGAGATATGAAGAGGATATGGGATACAAGTACCATCCTCCTATCCCTGTCTTGGGGGCTTATATTAGAGAAAACAGAGTGTAGCACAGGGCTAACTGTGATATACACTCATAATGCAATATATAACTGAAACAAAAAAGCTGTTTTCTCTACATAGATAATCATACATAGTAGCATATGTGTAGAGAACCTAGGATAACCCCTAAAATGTCAGACAAAGTGACTTATTTCCAGTACC